ATATATATATATATATATATATATATATATATATATATATATATATATATATATATATATATATATATATATATATATATTTATATAAATATATATATATATATAAATATATTAGTATATTTTGGTAGCAGTCTTTCCTGTAGACATATATTATTAAATATGACCAGGAAAAGTAAGATTAATAATTCTAACACGAATTTTCTCTATCTTTCGTACATTTCTTTTCACTGTTGGTGGTAATTCAAAAATCAATTCTCCAAAATTCATTTTTATTTCTAGTCTGACGCGACACTTGATTGCGTCAGGAAGCTGCCCTTTCTAGATGTAACAGTCATGGAAAAGAGCGGAGGTTTCCACACTGCAGTCTACTCTAAGGAAACGAACATAGGAATGTGCCTAAATGCCAACAGCGACTGCCCAGACAGGTACAAAAGGAGTGTTGTTAACGCATATGTCGACTGTGCTCTCAGCCACAGCTCAGAATGGAAGCAAGTCGACGAAGACCTCTGTAGGGTAAGGCAGGTCCTAGTCAACCACGGCTTCTCCAATGGTTTCGTCGAAGACATCAAAAGAAGGAAAGTGAAACGCCATGCAACCTCTGAAGAGACAACTAACACAACACCTATACCCCCTATTAGACTATTTTACAAGAACTTCTTTTCCACAGCTCATAAAACGGAGGAAAGGGTCCTGAAAGATACTGTTAATAGAAACGTTATCCCTACAGACAAAATCAGAGGATACAATTGACGATTTACTATAAAACCAGAAAAAACGGCCAGCCTACTCATGAGAAACTCTCCAGACACAAAGCAGAACGCTTTAAAAGAGACCAACGTCGTCTATGCCTTCAAATGCCCTCTTGGGGACTGTATGCTCCAAAAAAGCAGTATATAGGCAAGACAACAACATCTCTTTCTAGGCGTTTAACGATGCATAAGCAACAGGGCTCCATTAAGTAACATATAATCTCTTCCCACAACCAAACCATCGCCAGAGAAATCCTAGTAAACAACACAGAAATCATCGATATATACAGCGATAGCATGCGGCTTGACGTTTGCGAGGCACTACACATTAAGAAGTCAACACCAGCAATCAACAGCCAATTAATGCACAACTATATTCTACCCACCTCAAGACTCCGCTCCAATATAGAAGCATCAAGAAATATGGACCAATAGGCTTTCTACAATCACTTCCATTCAATACCCATTGTTTCATGTTCTGTCTTGTGTTGATGAAATTAATACCCTATTAATGCCACCTCACTCCATCCTCCTCACTCAAATGTAGATATAAACAAATCGGAGATGTGTAAGTTCTATTCAGTTGTGTATGTGTAAACTAAAATCTTTGAAAATGTAATAAGTTTTACGAAACGCGCTCAAGTGTCGCGTCAGACTAGAAATAAAAATGAATTTTGGAGAATTGATTTTTGAATTACCACCAACAGTGAAAAGAAATGTACAAAAGATAGAGAAAATTCGTGTTAGAATTATTAATCTTACTTTTTCGGTCATATTTAATAACATATATATATATATATATATATATATATATATATATATATATATATATATATATATATATATATATATATATATATATATATATATATATATATATATATATATATATATATATGTCGTACCTAGTAGCCAGAACGCACTTCTCAGCCTACTATGCAAGGCCCGATTTGCCTAATAAGCCAAGTTTTCCTGATTTAATATATTTTCTCTAATTTTTTTCTTATGAAATGATAAAGCTACCCATTTCATTATGTATGAGGTCATTTTTTTTTTATTGGAGTTAAAATTAACGTAGATATATGACCGAACCTAACCAACCCTACCTAACCTATCTTTATAGGTTAGGTTGGGTTAGGTAGCCGAAAAAGTTAGGTTAGGTTAGGTTAGGTAGGTTAGGTAGTCGAAAAACAATTAGTTCATGAAAACCTGGCTTATTAGGCAAATCGGGCCTTGCATAGTAGGGTGAGAAGTGCATTCTGGCTACTAGGTACGACATATATATATATATATATATATATATATATATATATATATATATATATATATATATATATATATATATATATATATATATATATATATATATATATATATATATATATATATATATATATATATATATATATATATATATCGCGATACTGGATCGCGACACTGAAGCGCTGGCTGAAAAAAATTGACGCTCTATGGTTGCTTGTAGTGTAATGAGTCTGAAACCAAGATCCTTAAAGAACCTTCTTGTACTCTCTCCCCATGGGCCTAGGGTCTCAGATCCTATTGGGACGAAGTTGTACCTGTGATCTAATTTCCTGTACTTGATTGACTTGTATCTTTCTCTGTGCGTCGCCGTGGCTCCTGATTGGCCGGGAGAGAGATTGACGTATGTGGTTGATAGGGTGGATACGCAAGTATTAGTCCCATGCCAACTGCCTGCCGCCCTTCCAAGGGCGCAGTGTAATTCCGTCTGGTCGACCAGGCTAAGCTAAACAGAGTCACGTGTTCTATAGAATGCGGGAGGTCTCTCTCTGCTGGACACTGGGCAGAGGCAAGGCTTCTCCTGATGATGTCATTGACCTCGTCGTGCCTAGAGTGCCAATCGCCAGATTTTCCACAGCGCAGGCCATGCAATCCATATTCGTCAGCGTCTGCCTCGCCGCAAATACACCTATGAACAGTGTGGATAAGGGCAGCAAGGCGGAGAGCGACTGCAATACGGAGCTCCTGCGGATCAAGACGTGTGCCTGTCGCAGACAAAGGGACTGCCAAAAGGAAGTCCCCTGCATGGGGGGCCTGCACAGCTGTGAGGCATGCACGTTCACTGGGGATTGTTGCTGCCTCCAGCAAAGCTGTGGTTTCTTTGTCTACAATGGGATTGTCCCAGCTGGATTGTTTCTTGGCTTTAGGCATGGTTGGTCTGAGTAGTGGGTCTGCCATGGGACCCCATTTTGTGTTGCATTCCGTGTAGTGGGGGTCCTGTATCCCTGCTAAGTCACACAGGTTGTCAGGTAGGATTTCTTTAACCAGGTCATCTGATGCTGAGGAGGAAGGCTGGGACAGCAATTTGGGCGGCGGTGCGGGCATCCAAGCCGCCGAGCCTGACAGGAAGAGAGGCTTGTTTCCACTGGCATTCGTTGAGGGTGAGGTTAACAACTTTTTCTAGCATGGTCTTCAATAATAGGTCATATTTTTCAAGCTTTGGGCTGTCATAGGATGGGGTTACCCTCAGAAAGTAGGTTAGCCTTGGAAGGGATAGGCATTAAGTGAGGAGATATAAAGCATCGTGGGCATCGATGTCAACTATCCTGTCTTCCATCCTCCTGAGGTCTGTGATTTTCTTATCAAGGATCTCCTCAATGGCGTTAAACCCGAAGGGGGCTCCAAGGAGAGTGCTGGTCTCATCCCTAATGACATGGGCTCCAGGCAAGGCAGGCCTAATTCTAGCTATGATGTTTGGGTTGGAGGAGTCTACTTCACATTTGGAAGGGTTCAGGATGAGACCCAGGCCTACTTCTTGCTCCCTTATTTTTCTGATGTCATCCAAGTCTAGGGTGCCAGCTATAGTGCCACCATCCAAAAACCATATGTTGAACACGGTGGACAAGCTTTCTGTGATTTCTTAAAAGACTAAGCAGAAACGAAGAGGAACAAGGGGATCATTTTGCTGAATAACTTCACATGATCTGATTTCGTATTCGCCAAAGAGCAGTCTTGACTCTCCACTGTAGCACGATATTATGAACAGGTAGATGGGCCGGAAATGGCGATGTACGGCACAAAACACTGCATCTCTTCTGACCATGTTGAGGGCATTCTTAAAGTCTAGTTTAAGTAGGGCCTTTTGGTCAGGAATGTTGGTGATGTATGCTCGTGCTGCATGGGCAGCCGCTTCACAGCATTGGGGGATCCCAAGTCCTAGCTGAATTGGTTTCAGCCATTCAGCCGCTTGCTGGCTGACAACCCTCGTAGCAGCCTTGGCAACCAGGCGTCGGAGAGTGTTGCCAACAGTGATTGGCCTGATTCCTTCGTCCTTCTTTTTGAGAGCACAGAGGGAGGGACCAAAAAAGAGAGGCCTGATGACCTCAGGTATCTCACCAGCCAGGCACGCATTGACGAACGTTGTGAGTTACATAAGAAGATCTTGTGCAGCATTACCAGCCGCAGGATTTAGCATTTGCTTGATGTGTTGAGGTTTTAAACCTGTAAAGCCGCCTGCTGATCCAGGTGGAAAGGAAAGGGCTGCTTTGACCTCAGGTTCACCAACAGTTAATGGGTCTGAAATGGTCTCGGCTGGTGGCGGAACGATGTTGTCGCCTTGAGGAGCTCTAGATGGGTGCTTGCTTTGCAGGGCCCGTGCTGTGGCTGAGTTTCGAGGAGCAATTTTCTCGTCACTGGTGAGAACTCTAATAGCACTTGCGGTATTTACCTCTTCAATTTTCTTGGTGATTTGTGCTCTGATTTAGTACGTTTCAGATGTGATGTTGTCAGACTTAACCCACTACACCAAGTCAGACTTGGTGTAGTGGGTTAAGGCGTACTAGTTATGGCAACTACTGGAAGGTAGTTGTGCTTTCTGGGTTCGAGGCCCACTGGTGGGTGTTGTCTAAAGATTGTTAATCTTCACTTGTGGTTCAAGCAAGTATGTGCTTATATATATTTATATATATATATATATATATATATATATATATATATATATATATATATATATATATATATATATATATATATATATATATATATATATATATATATATATATATATATATATATACAAACATACATATATATATAAACATCGATTATCAGTATGTCAACACAGAAAACATATTCCATTATCATTATTTTTAGGCGTATACAACAAAGGTATTTAAAGCTAAAACTAAAGTTTATGAAAGTCACAGAAATAATCATTGCAAATATTGTTTTGAGTACTTACAATAAATTTTTTAACCCCATACATGATGGAAGACCTCAACGTCTGGCATCTACCGCAAAGTTGGTGACCTGGAGACCAAGGGGAGGGTAGTGATTGTACCACACTCGGACATCGAGGCTGCCCTGGACACTCTGGTGCGGCAGGGCGACCACGTCCTTATGGAGACGGACGACGACGTCATAAGCCTTATGTTCGATGATTTTCTTCGAACAGGTACGCTACCGTGAGTACTGTACAAAACATGTAAAAGGTCCTGGTAGTACAGTCGTGTTCGTTCTCAACTCGCACTCAGGAATTCCAAGATCAAATTCCAGTCGGGACAGATATGATTGGGCGCATCACCTAATGACCCTGTGGATTTGCATGCTTGGGACAGATAGTAGTTCGATTTCATTGAATATGACCGCATATTCTGTATTTATTATTTTCTGGTTTAGGGCTTCTATCCCTCTAACTATTTTCTTAGCATCAGGGCTTAATTGAAATAGGAGTTCTCCAAAACTCATTTTCGTACTTTTAAGGTGAAGAAAAGAAGTAATTTACTATAGAGTGTATTACACTTATTTGTATAATTTGCACGACGTTTCGAACCTCCATGGTTCATTCTCAAGTGAACAGATCTTACAATACTAGTTGATTTTATACCCGCATTAGGTCAGGTGATAATACAATGAAGGTGAAAACATGGGGGGATACATAAGGGATAAACATAGGGGCTGCAGAAGGCTTATTGGCCCATACGAGGCATCTCCTATCTAAACACAAAGATTAATCCAGTGTAATTGGCCTGTTATGTTGGACATTGTCTTCTGTGTTGGCATCGATATGTTCTTGTCTTGTCCTTACTCTCATGGTGGGTAGAGTAAATAGTTCCGTGATTTGGGTGTTCATGGTAGGTCGCTCTATTCTTATGTGAATTGCCTCAAGAATTTGTAATCTTCTTGAATCTTGGGTTTTGTCTATTATGCAAGTATTCTTGTTCAATATTTCTCTTGTTAGAGTAATGTCATGGGCTTGTCTCATGTGATTCCTAGGGGCACCAGATTGAAGATGGCATGTCAAACGCCTCGTCAGCTTGGTCGACGTCATACCTATGTACTTACATTGAAGGTTACATCCTTCGTGGGGGCAAGTGTACATGTATACAACGCTTGACTGCTGTAGAGGGTTCTCCGTCGGCTTCGGGCTGTTTTTGATAAGGAGTTCGGAAGTCTTCTTGGTTTTGTAGAATATTATCAGGTTTATGTTTTGGTTAGGAGTAGTGCTTTTTTACTCCTTTACGGATTATTTCTTTCATTATTCTTTCCTCTTTTATATGTTCACTGAGCATGGTTGATTTGTAATATAATTTTATTGGGGGTGTTGTGGTTTCTGTTCTAGGTTCTGAATTATACCAACGGTCCAAGTGTCTTCTTATAGCAGCGTTTATTTCCGCGTTGCTATATCCGTTGTTCACCAATACCTGAGTTACTCTTTCAAACTCTCTACTCACGTTGCTCCATTCAGAGCAGTGGGTAAGCGCTCGACGAATATAAGCATTGAGAACACTGGCTTTGTATCTTTGGGGCACTCACTTCTACCGTTCAGGCATAATCCTATGTTGGTGGGCTTGGTATATACGTTGGTGCTTAAAGAGGTTCCTGTTTTTGTTATTAGTACATCCAAGAATGGCAGACTGTTATTTTCACTATTTTCATGTGTAAATCGGAGTACTGACTCTCTCTCTAGGTGTCTTTTTAGGTCAATTAGTTCATCTGAGTCTTTTACTATTACGAATATGTCATCTACATAACGGCAGTATACAGTTGGTTTTTGTCTGCTACTGAAGACCCTATCTTCGATGGTTCCCATATAAAAATTAGCAAATAAAACTCCTAAGGGGGAGCCCATTGCTACTCCGTCTATTTGTAAATACATGTCTCCTTGTGGACTGATGAAAGGGGCTTCCTTTGTACATGCTTCGAGAAGACTTTTCAAGTGTGGCTCAGGTATGTCTAATTTGTTAACTCACTCCGTAAGTTAACATCCCTAAACGGTGGACAGCTAAAAATCCCTCGTCCTAAAGATGGCTACTTTAACCTGACTTCTTATGATCTTACCCAGGACCAACGAGACCTCTTAAATCTTGGTCTAAATTGTCAATTCTTATCTAAACCAAAGATGCATCAAAAACGCCTGGAAATCGAAATGCTTCTGGACGATATCCATAAGCTAGAAGACAACAAAAAAGTCATCACCACTGACACACTTCAAGCTGAACTACTTGCAGAAGCAGGGAAAAAACGAGGATCATATTCATCTACAATCTTAACCCCACGACTCAAAGAAGCAGCGAAACAACTAAAAAATCTGAAAGACGTAACAATAAGAAAAGCCGACAAAACAGCAGCATATATATTGATTCCTACCCATGAATACATGAACAAAATTAGCGACATCCTAAGTGACGACTCCAAATTTCAACGAATCACGAGGAACCCCGTAGAAGACCTTAAGCGGAAAGTAAACAAAACAATTACAGCAATCAACGCAAAGAAAGGTAGTGTGCATTTCAATAAACTTCAAGGCGACTATGGCTTAGGATATGCCTACGGCAATGTTAAGACGCATAAACCAGGTAACCCACTACGCCCTATAATCAGCCAAATACCAACCCCAACTTATCACCTGGCAAAGAAACTCAATGAACTCCTAACTCCATACACTCCAAGTAAGTTTAGTCTACAATCATCAGCAGATTTCCTAGAATTGATCAAATCTACCCAGCCCGATGGAATCATCGCTTCCCTGGACGTTGAATCCCTTTTTACCAACGTCCCAGTCGACACTACCATAGGAATGATACTGGACAGAGTATACAGAGACGAGAGCACCCCCAAATTAGACATACCTGAGCCACACTTGAAAAGTCTTCTCGAAGCATGTACAAAGGAAGCCCCTTTCATCAGTCCACAAGGAGACATGTATTTACAAATAGACGGAGTAGCAATGGGCTCCCCCTTAGGAGTTTTATTTGCTAATTTTTATATGGGAACCATCGAAGATAGGGTCTTCAGTAGCAGACAAAAACCAACTGTATACTGCCGTTATGTAGATGACATATTCGTAATAGTAAAAGACTCAGATGAACTAATTGACCTAAAAAGACACCTAGAGAGAGAGTCAGTACTCCGATTTACACATGAAAATAGTGAAAATAACAGTCTGCCATTCTTGGATGTACTAATAAAAAAAACAGGAACCTCTTTAAGCACCAACGTATATACCAAGCCCACCAACATAGGATTATGCCTGAACGGTAGAAGTGAGTGCCCCCAAAGATACAAAGCCAGTGTTCTCAATGCTTATATTCGTCGAGCGCTTACCCACTGCTCTGAATGGAGCAACGTGAGTAGAGAGTTTGAAAGAGTAACTCAGGTATTGGTGAACAACGGATATAGCAACGCGGAAATAAACGCTGCTATAAGAAGACACTTGGACCGTTGGTATAATTCAGAACCTAGAACAGAAACCACAACACCCCCAATAAAATTATATTACAAATCAACCATGCTCAGTGAACATATAAAAGAGGAAAGAATAATGAAAGAAATAATCCGTAAAGGAGTAAAAAGCACTACTCCTAACCAAAACATAAACCTGATAATATTCTACAAAACCAAGAAGACTTCCGAACTCCTTATCAAAAACAGCCCGAAGCCGACGGAGAACCCTCTACAGCAGTCAAGCGTTGTATACATGTACACTTGCCCCCACGAAGGATGTAACCTTCAATGTAAGTACATAGGTATGACGTCGACCAAGCTGACGAGGCGTTTGACATGCCATCTTCAATCTGGTGCCCCTAGGAATCACATGAGACAAGCCCATGACATTACTCTAACAAGAGAAATGTTGAACAAGAATACTTGCATAATAGACAAAACCCAAGATTCAAGAAGATTACAAATTCTTGAGGCAATTCACATAAGAATAGAGCGACCTACCATGAACACCCAAATCACGGAACTATTTACTCTACCCACCATGAGAGTAAGGACAAGACAAGAACATATCGATGCCAACACAGAAGACAATGTCCAACATAACAGGCCAATTACACTGGATTAATCTTTGTGTTTAGATAGGAGATGCCTCGTATGGGCCAATAAGCCTTCTGCAGCCCCTATGTTTATCCCTTATGTATCCCCCCATGTTTTCACCTTCATTGTATTATCACCTGACCTAATGCGGGTATAAAATCAACTAGTATTGTAAGATCTGTTCACTTGAGAATGAACCATGGAGGTTCGAAACGTCGTGCAAATTATATAAATAAGTGTAATACACTCTATAGTAAATCACTTCTTTTCTTCACCTTAAAAGTACGAAAATGAGTTTTGGAGAACTCCTATTTCAATTAAGCCCTGATGCTAAGAAAATAGTTAGAGGGATAGAAGCCCTAAACCAGAAAATAATAAATACAGAATATGCGGTCATATTCAATGAAACATGTTTGAAAGAAAACCTGCTGCCAGTATACACCATATATATATATATATATATATATATATATATATATATATATATATATATATATTATATTAAATATTACATATATAGAAGGGGTACCACCTCTGGTGCAAGTGTAGGGACCCATAGCCTCGGAGAAGAAAATAAAGAGTACTAGTAAGTAAAGAGTACAAGAGTAGGAGTACATATATATATATTTTTTTTTTTTTTTAAACCTAGAAGGGGTACCACCTCTGGTGCAAGTGTTGGGACCCATAGCCTCGGAGAAGAAAATAAAGAGTACTCAGAGAAGACCTTGTGGATCCTCACTGAACACTTTGATATTTTCTTCTCCTACCACCCCTATTCTTTTGGTATGTGTGTATATTTATCTAACTTTATTTGAAAATGTCATTACACAAAAAAGTTACAATATTGATTACATGCAGAGTACAAGGCTGCTTGTCACAAGTTGAACAGCTCCTCCAGCTCCTCAGATGGCTGGCAGGAACCATGGATGAAGTGACCATTTCCTCTCTGGATTGTCACACTAAGGCGCTGAAAAAGAAAACTGGCAGCTCTAGGGTCTCTAGTTGTTTCGATTAGCTTAGACCCCAACTTCTTCAAAAAGCTAGCAGCACTTTTACCCCAGGCACCAAGTGTCTCTGAGGCAATGGGGACAAAATTGTAGTGGTGCTCAAGGTCTCTGTATTTACGTGACT